TGCAACATATAAAAATGGTTTGTGACACCTGGTTGCAACCACCTTTGCAACCACTTTGGTTTCCTTTTTTGGATTGCAACATGGAATACTATTATAAAAGCCTTCCAATATGTGGGTGGCCTTCACTTGTGGAAGAAATTCTACAATTATGAGGGTGTGTGAAAGCACTAACTTGCATGTTTGTGATAGGAAAGTTTTTATTAAATCTGACACCTGTAAACATCATCAGATTTATTATTCGTGGTTTTTAAGGAACTATATAATTGGGGAAGTGAAAAAATTTTTTTTTTGATACCAGAAATCTGGGTAGACTTACATTATTGTTGAAAAATTAGGTTCCTTAAAAAGTTTTCGTTTCTGCATGGTCTTGGTATTATTTATTACTTGGGTGATGCAATTTATCTATTTAACTTATTTGCACAATGTTATGAATGTTGTAGACATGTACACATCAAGGAAAGGATTAAAAAGTTAAGTGTATTTTTTCATTTTTTTTTTATCCAACTAAAATATAGAACAATACATAATTATTTAGATAGAAACTATTTTAATTATTGTTGATGAAAATAAAATATTGCAAATACTGTATTTATTAAATTTTTTGCCTTTTTAAATATTTTGTTCTTTGATTGGTCTCTCTTAGTGATAATTGTGTATTTTTCCTCCAAAAAATATCCTCCTGTCAATCATTAAGATATTTTTTTTTATGATCGTACAAGGAAGGAAAATAATAATTGTTTCATAATCCTACTAGTCTGTGAAAAAAAGTCATGTCATTTTCATTTTTGAGTATGTTGTAGTGTAATGTATCTAGTTTGACTGTATAGAGAGATTTTTGTGGGTAACAAATACCAGTTGTGTAAGAAATTGTAACCAAAATCCCAAGTCATCATATTGCAACAAGAATAATAAAAATACATATTTTCATAATTCCAATCAGTCCATGAAAAAAAAATTCTATTGAGTATTATGTAGTATAATATATCTAGTTTTCAGTATAGATAGGTTTTGAGGGTACCAAGTACCAATTGTGAAGAAATCAGGGACCAAATCATTGTAATTGATCCCCAAGCAAATGTTTTAATTTTTATATTATCAAGATTGGCTAAGGTTGTGGGCGAAACTCCTCCAGAAATCAATCAACAGAGTTTCAACAGGTTACACATTAATTGTTTATTAGAGTTTTGGCAGAGTTTCACATGTGGGGGTTTTGTCAATTATCAGAGCTTTGACAAGGTATCTGTTCGTGCAGAAAGAAAACAACTTGTAGAGATCAAAGATAATGTCCCCACTAATAGAGAGAATGCTGCAATTAAAATATTGGAAAAATTTTTAAAATCATAAATTACTTTTTAATATATTATTTTAAAAATGAATACTTATCTTCTATTATTATTAATTTTTTTGTTTTTATTTTATTTATTTTTTTTTTCTTTATTTTTTTTTGTTTTGGTAAATTTTCCCTTTCAGTATTCCATGTAACATCCATTAATATTAAAAAACCGTACATATTAATTTATCATAATGATGATGTTAATTAGATTTGTTGATCTACTTGTATGACACCCCCCAATGTGGTATGCAGATCACAAAAAAAAATCACATATATATATATGACATTAATTAGTTTTGATTTTCAATGTCACACACCCCAATAAAATTCATCATTAATATTAATAATAATGGATAATCTATCAGTATAACCTAACACAAAAAAACATTTTTTCACGATTAAGTATAAGGTACATAACAACTCAAATGCATGATGGGCAACAATGCAGACAAATATCCATATGCCTTCGATGGTAGATATTTTTGAAGAAAAACAGTGACTTTTCATATTTTTTACTGATCCTTTTTTAGACATTAGAAAGTACTTTGAGCAGACTTCAGAATATTCTCCATCCCTTTCAGAATTTGTTAGGGAAAATATTGATTTAGTAGTTCATTCTCCTCCAAAAGGGACTGATTTTAATAGTTTAGATGGTGCATGGAAAAAATGGTTTAGAACAACTGCAGTAATACTTAATGTGAAGGAGGTGTGAATGTTTTAATTTTCTGCATCTATGGCATCCCAATCAGGTTTCACCCTGTATTGTGGGTTGTTAGGTTTTGCCCTCACCAGAGTGATGATGTGGGAAGCTCCAGTCAGGTTTCGCCCTGTAACTGTGGGTAGTTAGGTGTTGCCCTCAGCCCCATCATTGCAATAATTGCAACATTCTATAGTTTTTTTTGATTAATTATTAGTTACTTAGTTGCTAGAGAAACCTATTATTAATTATATTTATATATAGATTAATGTTGACACACCCAATTGGAATAATATTATTGAAATGAGACATGAGGTATATTAAAAGAATTGAATATAGCTTTTATCGATTTCTTTATGATTAACTTGTATTGGTATGTGGCAGGAACGAATCAGAGTCCAATGCCATGGAAAAACTTACATCATATATGAAAATGAAAACAAAATTATTGGAAATCAATTAATGAAAAACCAGGAAAAACGTCTTGCAAGTCATCAACAAGATGAAGAATCTAAGATGGTTGATGAGGAGGGAATAGATAACCTTCAGAAAGAACTGTCACCAGAGATTTTTGATTATGTTGATAATGAAAACATTGCATTTGATGGTAATAACCCTTTTTTTGCTTCATATTTATCTAAACAAGACTGTTCTTGAAACTAATTTATTTTACAGATGGATTTCAAACCCCCCTTTATCAAATTGTCTGTAACACATATGACTCAGAAGTATCAATTAATGAAAATATACTAAGGATATCTGCTATGAATTTAGCAAAGCTGGATGAGTCCAAGGTATGTTGTTTGAAGATGCTAATTTTTTAAAGCATATAGTAAATACTAAATGGTTTGCATTGAACAGTACTTTGGGGAATTTATTCCACATTTTATAAAGTATAAAAAATCCCAGCAAAATAACTTATTTTTGTAAGTAATTGGAATTTCTAAGATATATTTTTTAATTCTATAACTAATACCTTCTCAATATATAGGTGCATGAACAATGACATGATTAGGGTTTGTATTCATGAATATCATAAGGGGGTCACACAGGGTCACACACTATTAAAATCAAGTGATCAACTCATGATTTTTTGCTGTTTTAATAGTGTGTAACCCCCTTAATGATATTCATGATATTCATGAATAAAAACCCTAGACATGATGGATATTCAAGGAGAAAGTGGGTTTTCTAAATTTTTGTTGATTGATGATTATATAAAATTAATGTCAAAAAAACCAAAAAGGTAAGTTGAATTACCAGAAGGTTGGCATAATGTTATTGAAAAATATTTTAAGGTAATTATATGTTATTGCTTGTATTTGTCATTCATAGCAGTTATTGATTCCATTGTTTTATAGGAAACAACCAAAAGTGGGTTGATAAAAAATATATCTGACTGGATTTGTACTACAGAAGAACTGGGAGTTGTGAAAGAGGAAGATCACAAAGAGCTAATAAAGATAAAAAAATATTTGAATCAAGTTATGCTTCCATTGTAAGTGATTTCTTAGTTTTATTTTTATTAATTACTTATTGTTTCTAATATTTTATATTGTAGGATTGAATCATTCTCAAAACCAGTCCCAGATATTAGTGCCCCAAACAGCAGTGAGTACCATTATTGGTCAGAATTTGGCCATCGTTTTTTCTTAAGGCAATTACAAGAATTTATAGGTCTTGACTGGAGAGCGTAAGCATTGAGTTTATTGAGTTTGATTAAGCTATCGTAATGTTGTTTTCAAATCATTATGTTAAATTTATTTTTATTTTAGCATGGAAATTCCCGTGCAGGCCTCAAAGTATCGAAAAAACTATGGACATAACCATGCTATAGACAAAATAGTTGACAGAAAGTTGGCAGATTTGTTAGCATGGACTATACATGAAGTCAAAACTATTTTGACCATTTGCAGATCTGGTCAAAATAGGGTCAAAATAAGGTTGAAATTGATTTTTACTATGTAGTTGCCTCAAGTTGAAACATTTCAACTTTGGGGTTTTAATTTCAACTTCATGTATAGCATGGACATGGAAAATGGGAGAAGAAATTTTTATTGTAGAGCAAGCCAGACCTCCCACTAAATCTGATTTAACAAAACTTACAATGGATTCTTTTAAATTGTACAGAGAGATGAGAGATTGTTTAAACATTAGGATTTTACAAGCCATGGGAAAAGGTGACATGAATTACAATAACCGGTCTGTTTTTGGAATATTGGGTTATCTTTTTGAAATCAAAATGCTTATAATGTGGAAAGATGGAGTATATATATATGAAGAGTATGGAAGTTTAAACATTGCTTCCAACCCGGCACAGATGTCAGAGATGAAATCAGGTATATTAAGATTATTGGAATTTATGGTAGGTTACATTTTATGATTTTGTAGATACTTTTAGTTGATCTATTCTAAATTAGTTTTGTTATAGATGATTATCAAAATCAAAATGGAAAATAACGTTGAAACTGAATATAATGTTGAATCTGTACAGATTCCCTTAATTCTGCAAATTGTTCCTTGGGAATTCTTGAAGAACAACCACATTTACAACCTTTTTCTAAAAAATAAATTGCTCTTTCATATGCATTAGAACCATTATTACTTTTCATATACCTATAATCCTATATATAATTTTATGTTCAATCATGTCAGAAAGGTAGAAAAAAATTTTATATTATCACACTGTGTATATAGTTTGCATAATAACCATTGTGATAATGTTTTTCAATTGGAACATTCATAGACATGATTAACAAACCAAATAAATAAATAAAAAAAAAACATCAATTTGGAATATTACTGATCTAAAGTACTTTTATTTGATTATTAAAAAAAAAAAAAAACTTTTACCATGTCAACATCCTCTTTCACTTTTTCCAAAGCTTGCCTGCACTGCCAAATTAAGGACATGATCAAAGCATCAGAGTTGATGACATTCTGAGTTCCACTCAATTCCCATTTCTTCTCTTAACTTTGTTGCCGATTCCCACGCAAAAGTGTCATTATTGGAGGCACTATCCAAGGTAACAGCATGAAACTATTAAGAGGAGGATTATAAAAATGTTAAGATAAGAAGAAAACAGAAAAAAAAAATCACATACTTTTGATATAATGTCATATTCCTTCAACACATCAAAGAACCCATCAGCAATTTTTGCCCCTTCATGTCTCCCACTCATTAAACCAAAATCGGTAATTGTTTCATGAAGGACCCAGTAATCATCAATGTAATGAGCTGTGGCAGGAACAAATGCCTTGTTGTTAGGGAGGTCCAAAGGTCTGATGTAAAAGATATTTTGGAATTTATAGTGGAGAGTTACACCTACAATACAAGCAGTGGTTGTTAAACCAAAAAAAAATGCATAACATAATAATGATAAAGTCTACCTTTAACTCTCTTTTTTCCTCCTTGTAAAGCTTCATAACTGTATCCTTAATTGCATCAGCTTTCACTGGTTTGATTTCGGGATTCAAATATTTAAAAATTTCAATAAGTTCCAGATCTTCTGCTGTGAGGAATGGGCGTTGACGATTTATGAGCCAAATAGCAATCATATTACAACATTTTTCATTATCAACCATGGTCATGGTAGTAGATGAGGAGTCAACTGGTGATGTGGATGACTAAAATACAATTAGTCTCAAAACTGAAAAAAGGAAAACAAAAAGCAACATACTTTTTTTAAAGACTCCTCTATACTTTCACTTTCTGTTTGAGCCTTTTTCCTTTTCTTGGAATATTCTTCAGTCTTTATGTATATTGTCCAATGCGAATTTTCTAAATGACACCAGAGTGGCCTTGTTGTACCTTTATTTCCACAGGAAAATGCATTGTGTGTACATTTTGCAACTATACATTTGGCTGTTTTTTTTACTTTCCCCAATCAATTTTCTTGAAATAATTCCATACCTCACTTATAATATTATTACTATTATGTTTGTTGAAGGGGACAGAATTTTGGGAATTCTTATGAGGATTGGAGGATTGAGATAAGTTTCGGAGTACATGGCAGTGTAAGATTTCAAATAATGGGAAAAAAACTATTTTTAGAAAATTTTATGAATGTACAATTTTTTTTTTGTACCTTGTACCCAAATTTTTTTTAATTACAGTAGCATACAAGGGCATTCATAATAAATCATTAAAAAAATTATATCAATTTGTAGCTTAGGTTCTGGAGATTATGCATATAAAAATTTATGTTCTCAAGTTTTCTATAACTCTATCAATTGAAAATAAAAGAAATTCGTTTTTTTTTGGACAAAATCGTGTAACCATACACTCACAACACAAAACCCATCGCATCACGTGATTCAAACCGAACTTTGAACTTGAACCGAACCTAGGAACACTATAATAAAGTTTTGAGTTTTTATTATGTCAAGTTTATGCATTTATTTTCAATGATCAGCAAGTGTATTTATATTTTTGTTTACTGAGTGTAAATATATCAGAAAAAATTACAGAAAAAACACATTTCCGTTTTATTTTTCTCTAGCTCCTCACTTCTGGCTTTTAGTTCAATGCTTTCAGTGGGTTCTCTTCCATGATTTTTAATAGTTTGGCATTTCTTGCCTCAATTTCAGCTTCAAGCTCAGAATTCCGTTTTTTTTTTAATGATTTAATCTCAGATTGCATGTTTTATTTGTTTAAAATAATTAGTAAAGATTTTGGCAGATCATGAGGAACAAAATTATTCTATAAAGAATTACGAACTTTGCTAAGCATGCTTGGTTCTTTATCTGTTTATATACAATAAGGTATATACAATAATAAATTTTTTCTAAAAGTGAATTAACTACTTGCGACATGTATTCTATGTTAAAGCATACAAAAAAATTCTCTATTTCTTTGCGATTTTTGAAGGTGATGGCCTTGTTGGAATAATCTCATCAAATTTTCTTTTGAGAATCTTTTCAAGCTCTTTCTAGATCAGAACAAGACATATTTTTAATGGCACAACTTAGGGCAATGGATGGTGGATTAACAAGCAGTAGTAGATGCCTTAAAAAGAAAACTAGATCTAATAAAAAAACTTTCTATCATTGGGATCACAATACACTTCTTTGTCAAGAAACTTACCTCAATATGTTGGGGATTGGCAGGACTT